GCTTGTGTGTATCGAGGCAAAGACAAATGAAGAGATCGAAATTCGACTTCAACTATTTCCCTCCCCCGCCCCCCCCCAACGAAGCAACGAGAACTTCCCCGTTTTCGCACCGGTATTCGTAGTTCTCGTCGAAGTATTTATCCGAATAATAGATCTGCTTATGAGCCATTATGAAGGGAATGGCGATGGCGGCGACCGCAGCGCTTCTGCTCCCAGCGAAATCACCGTCCCGCCCCAGAGCTCGCCACTAACCGACTGCCGTGGAGGCAGCTCAGCGCCCGACCCAATTTGAATCCAACATCTCAGCGCTGATTGGAAGGGAGCCCTGGACTAATCGGAGCGCGCGCTGTCACGTGGCTGCGGTCTGTTGCTATTTGATTCTCCCCTACGTTTTTCTGCGTTTCCACCAATCGGAGAGCGCAATCGCTGAGGCGCGGAGGGGGGCCGCTAAATACACTTACTTGCAACGTCCAGACGTCGGCTACTGGGAGCGGGTGAGTTTACTCTATCTCCCTCTTACGAGGAGAAAGGGAATTGCCTATGGGTCGAATATCTCCGGCGGGGTGGTGACCAAAAACCATTAATTATTATTTATTTTTTACTGCTATTATCGTAATGGCTGCTCTTTGCACTACTGTTAATCTTTTGCGTATTTTTTCAGGACAATATTCTGCCCGCGTAGTTTGATTCTTTGGCGTGTTTAATTCAGAATTTAGTAAAACGAATTCCCGAATCCAGAATTATAATCTAAATGGGGAAATTTTTTTTTTAAACACAGCGGACACATTCTAGAACCAGAATACTTTGGCGAGCAATTTCAGCCGCTTCCTAAACCTAGTGAGAGACACATTTGCATATAGAATTTGCAGGGCTTTTTTTTTTTTTTTTTTCATTTTCTGTCTCCCTCTCCCGCTATTAAATGCACTGAAGGAGGCAAATGATGGGAGTCTTTTGGAAATTGGGAGTGGCTGTAGGGGCCCGGTTTTCACCCTAATATCAATTCCAAAGCATCTGCGACTAGAATGCCTTCAGCTCCGCACCAATGAGAGTTGATATAAATCTTCCTCCTACGGACGGACTTTTCATCTCTGGGAAAAGTTGGCTCAATCAGCTTTCCTCAGTTTAGTGAGCTCTGATGGCCTGCAACACTTCTAATCCCCAACTATCAGTATCTTTGGATGATGGGAGTTGCAGTCAAATACTTTGAGGGCAATGGTTTGGGGAAGTAGTCTGCTGACAAAATTGTGTACTTGTTTTCACTCTCGTTGTTTTATTTAAATGATTGAAAAGTAATTTCCCACTGATTTTTGAACTAATGACTAGTATCTATCTCACCAGAGAACAGGGCAGGCTTCCTACACAGATCAATACAGCTGTTTTAGGAGACTGAAGTTTATTATTCAATAAAAAAATAAATCCCAGCTCTTTTTTTGTTTCTAATTTCTGATTCCTTATCAGTTCAGCTGAATACTATAAGGTTTTTTAATGTTACAAAGTTCATACTTGTGTGTTGTTAATGTGATTAAAAAAAAAACACATACCATTATCTGCTTGCTGGATGTTGCATGTACACAACTTTTAAACTTATCTAGTCTGAATTTTATAACCTTTGACATGTGGTTTTCTTTTGCTACCCACTGTCTCAGCTTTTTAAACTGCTGGAATCTGACTCTTCTCCAGTTCACTGTAATACCTGATCCCATTGCTGCCAAAAATCCCTTTATGTTTCCATTTTTGATGTCTTGCTGTTTCTGATATAGTTGACTGCTGAATCCTGCTTGAATCCTTTCATTCTCTAGCTCACTGTTTCTACTCTGAGGAAGAACAGCTCTTTTGCTGCTCTCTCCCTTTCCAATAGGGTGTCTGAAATGTGTTTGTTATCTGCAGAGTCCCTAGATGACTTCATCACCCTCTCTGAACATGCAGTTTATATCTGTAACCCTAGAAATTGCCATCCAAATTTCCATTCTGTATGTTTGACTGATAGTTGTTTTCAGTATATCTAAAATGAATTATTGTCTCAGCCTCACTAAGGCCAAACTTATTTTTTTAATCTTTTCATGTAATTTTTCTAAGCATGTTGTTTCTCCACTTAGCAGCATTTGAAAATGTGGCTTTTCTCTGTCTCCTTTTCCTCCTGCATTCTACTTGTCTTATCTTCAAAGCTTTCTAGGTCCCTATCTTTCTGTCTTGGGTCTTTACCCCTCTATTCAGACATATGAACTTTCCCTCAGCTGTTCAAAGGGATTCTGCTCAGAAATGATGATTCTTTCTCTCTTTCTGCTCTTTATAGCTGCATGATAGCCTGTGTAAATGTTCACTGAAAAACAAATAAAAATGAAATATTGAAGGAAAACTCCATATTTTGCACTCTCCCACAGCTGTTTACATGACTAACATTTATGGGCGGCTATAGAAATTAAATAAATAAATTTGTGTAGCATATACTTCTCTTTTAGTTGTATTCTTCTTGCAATTTATCTGCATAGCTTTAAAGCATTTTCATGAAATCTTTAGCACAATCCCTACACAACAGAACTTGGAAGTAAGTACAGTGGTACCTCGGGATACGAACACCTCTACTAATGAACTTTTCGGGTTATGATCAGCTCCGGCCGCAAAAATTTACCTCGATGTGCGAACTCCGCCTTGGGGTACGATCATTTTTCCGCCCTGACACGTGGCCCGCGGCCATTTTTCCGCCCCTGACACGTGGTCCGCGGCTATTTTCCCGCCGTGCGGCGCCCGGCAATTTTCCCGCCCCTGATGCGTGGTCCGCGGATGCCAGAACGGATTAACGGTAATTACATTGAACCTTATGGGAAAATTTG